AAGCCAAAACATGACAAACGGGGTGAAGCGAACTGCTTGCTTGGATAACAATACACTAAGTCAAATTCTCAGAAGGAGATAGGAGACAACACGAGGATGATTGCATTCACTTTTGTTGTTTCCGTCCATATCATGTACTCAATGGGACGATGGACCCATTTTCCAGGAGGTGCATCTCCCCACTAATGGATGGAGTGGCCTAAGAGACCTTAGTAGGAGGGGATGCTCTTACCGCCTTTCCGGTAATGGCTCTCGAAGGTCTATTTTTGTGAAAAAAAAAGAAAAAGACTACAAGAGGATGGTCCTCCCGGGGAACAGGGGCCCCGGTGTCGAGCGCATCGGTCCCACAGGGGGACCCTCCCGGTCGTGTCACGCAGGATTTAGCAGGACTTCTAACTGAGCGGTGCTGCTATGCCCAAGTGTGTCAACCATACCTCTAGCGAACATATATAAGGGCATGCTTAGCTTGACAAAAGTTTGAGCGGATTGAGTTTTCGTGGGCACATCATGTGCTCAATCACCTCTACCACTATCCCTTTTCTTAAACAACCTTGCCAATTTCCCGACTATTATAGTTTGGCCTACGGGCAGTCTCTGTGACACATACTCACCTATCACAACCATCATGGCGACCTCTAACTCACTATCAACACCGACTTAAACGAAAACTTTATCACATTTCACCATTACTTATTTTTAAACCAAATAACCCAACCCATAACTTTTTTATATAATCACCTTACGAACAATACATCATCCACACTCATACTCAATCCAATCAACAAACTCATGATCCTCAACACACCAATCTGATCAAAAATAAAATTGTTGTTTCGCCTGGATCATCAGCCTACCAATAACCTGGGCTCGTTCACCAAGGACCCCGGTAGGCAGCCGAGATCCTCGGTAACGGCGCCACCTATCAAGTGCATTGGTCCCACAAGGGGAACCTCTCGGTCGCGTCACATAGGATTTAGCAGGACTTCCAACAGAGCGGCACTGCTCAATTAGAAGTCCTGCTAAATTTTGCGTAACTCAACTGGGAGGGTCCCCCTGCGAGATCAATGCGCGCGACAACGAAAAACTGCGACAAGAGAAGCAAGAAAAAGAGAGGTCAACCGACAGTCAATCCCCGTCAAATGAAGAGCGTAATCAAGGTAGTTCAAGGGAAAGACAGAATGCCCGAAAAATAAACATGGACAAATCTAATAAGCAAAGAGTAAATGTTATTATTTATAATGAACGTTGGACCCGGTTTCCAACAGGTGATATTCCCCACCAATAGACCAGAGTCAACCACACGAGGCTACTGGTGAGAGGTGCTCCTACTATTCCCAACAGTAGCACTGGAGGCATCTTTGTGAGAGGGAAAAAAAAATATTCGGGGACCTCGACTGTTTATTCCCCTCAACAGGAGAGGGCAATCCTTGCAGTCCAAGATTGGGCAGTGATTGACAGTGATAAATAATAAGGGACAGTGGGCCTGATTCCCAATACGTGTTAGGTTCTAATCCCATTGTCGTCACTTTCAGTGGCCTGAGGATGATGGTCAGAGCCAGTCAACACGGGTAGCTTATTGGGGTGAGTTGTGTTAACCTTTAGCCCATAGCAATGTAGGAGCGTCAGGCCAGGTATAACAGGTTGTTGGGGTCGTAGTGCGGCCGATCAGGATACACCCAATAAAAAATTTATCAGGTCAAGTTGTCAATCATAAATTATTAAACATCTAGAACCCTTAGCCAAAAAAATATAGGATTTAAAAAATCGGTTGCTGAATCAGATGGAGCATCACTGGTAAGGGGTCTGTATCAAGGAGAAACTTATGAGATATCTTATGGAAGGGCAATCGATGCAATGACTATGATACGTATAGGTAAAACGGTGATAGAGACACTGACAGATCCATAAGGAAGTGGTGCATAGAGGAGGACTAGTATTAAGATAATCAAATAAATTAGCAACAATCTGACAAACAAAAGACAAAAGATAGAAGAACAGTGAAATACATAGATAACACAGACAAACAAACTAACACACGAACATACAAAACCTCGTTATCGAATATCTTACTAATTACATAATCAACCACACCATCAATTACATAATGGATTATTGACATACGGTTGAATGTATGTCACATGGGGCAATTTATTACATAATCGATTGCCTCTCATAGCCAGCATTTAACCGAACGTCATTTTATTTTCTTTGTTTTTCTTAAATGTTTTTCTTGTTGCATCTGGTTTGTATGGCAGGAAGGGCATTTTTTCTCCGTATCATTTTTATTTAAAAAAGAACGTTGGGGGAGGAGGAACATTGCCAGACGAATTTATCAAACTTCTTTTTCTCTCTCTCCCCCCCCTCCCTCCCTGCACCCTTGGCCCCCCACTTCCACCCCCCAATATGGTTGTGTATGATTGGATAATCGATTGCCTTTCGCAACTGACATTCGTCTAAATATCAATAACATTTATTCCTTTTTTTTCTAGTATGGATGGAGGAACGTTTTTCCTTCTTGACATTAAAAAAAGGAGAAGGGGTAAACCGTTTGACAAATTTCTCGAGCTGCTACGTTTAATACTCACACACATTCTCAGTTGTGTTCTATGGATTTGTTTTTTTCCATATGGCTCATGTCGATTGGTGGGCAACAACATCTACGGAAAACCTGGTCCAACGTTCGAGCTATGTAACACACCGAACATGTTTGGGATTTTCGCTAACACCTGAATATGTCTGGTGCTTCGGGCGAAAGCCTTCGAAACGTGTTCGATCGAACATATTTTTTTTAATAATTTTTTACTTTTTTTAAAATTTTTTATTTTTTTACTCGAGTTAAGCTAAGAATTTGAACATTCGTCCTTGGTAAACGTTATTTCTATTTTCTTTTCATATTTTTATGAGCTTTTTTTTTATATTCGCAATCGGAAGGTTAAGGCGCTCGTTCGTGTTCGGTCACGAACGTTCGGATTCAATCACTGAACATATAAACACGATGCTAAAATTTTTCAGGGCATTTATTACTTTTGGGGTAACTAGAGGATTTATCGTTTGGGTATAACAACCATTTTTTGTATTAAAAAAATGATTTCCCGAGACTTCTGCAGGTCTTGTGTATATGCAGAAGTATATTGTTGTATTTCAATATGTCTGAATCGTCGCTCACCGAAGCTGATATGGCCACTCCTGCGGGCAGGCTTCTTCGTACAACCTCTTCAGGCACTACTATCTCCATCTTATCAAGAGCATATATGCGCCGAGTGTTACTATTGTCTCTATGCCTTACATTTTTTGAGTGTTTTTGTTGCCTCTCTACCATAATATTTTTATTTATCGCCTCCTACATATTATTGTAGTTCCACCAGTGCAAATTCATGTGACAAAAAAACAAATATGGAAAAGTAAGTGGTGATTGTAGCGGTATCACTGTGTAAAAACATGTCTGATTATAAAAACTAAGTTTCTAGGCTCTCTTAAGTTCACATTGTGTCGCCCTTCGATCATTTGACCAAGTTACCGCTGCAATTCGGATAGCCTTCTCCCAACCATACCTCAGCGAATTGTAGAATTTTTCGTCTTATCTCTTTGACTTGATGCGAAGTACTAAACTTAAGCTCAGCTGAATTCCATTTGACATCTATATCGAATCAGACTATGTTTTATTATTTCTCTTACTTTCGCTCCCTCTTAACGAACTCATTTCATTTTGCATGTAAATCTTTTGCATGAGAGGTCCCAAAGTGTCGTCATGCGCCCCGACCGTAACATATTATACGTGAAGGTATTGTCTTGCGACGGTTTATAGGTCCCACATAGCAGGGCTCGGTTGTATTATGGCCAATTTGTCTCTTTTCCTAGTTGGTGTCATATTTTGTCTCACTACCACCAAGTGATGACCATTTCTGAACACTTCAAATAAATATGTTATGTTGTCTTTATAATTTTACGAGATGGGTAGCTGGCATGACAAAATTTTCACAATGGCAAAGCAAGATCTTTCTATTGCAGTGGAGTTTGACCAATCAGCCAATCATTTAAGGATAGGTAACGATGTTTTATTCATTATTGGAGAGAAAAAAAAAAAACCAATTTATTTATAATTTTCGTGAGTCGTTTTATCAGTCACAGTTTATCCATTCTTATATTTAGGTTGGTTCCTTGACTTTCTCTCACAGGTTCACAGTGGTTCATAACATTTTATATGTCGTTTTGACTTTCATTGTTTATTTGTGGACTTTTTCAATCAGTTCTTGCATGAGGGGTCATCCAGTTAGGTCGAATGGCAAGTTTTTGATAGGAACTTTTGGGGAAAACGTGACCTACTTCTCGTTATCTTGTTGGACTTATATCATATACAAGTGGACCTGCCGCAGCTACGCTGCGACAGAGGAGAGGGACAAACAGGGGGGCGGGGCCATTGTTGGCACACTGCCGGTTTTCTTTTATAAGTTTTTTTTTGCACGGAAAAAAAACTTTTTTTTTTTTTTTTTTTTTTTTTTTCTCTCTCTCTCTCTCCCCCATCCTATTGACGAAAGTAGC